GATTTTCATAAACAATCACTTTTTCAGATCAACTCAACCTACTCCAGTCCATTTAAAGAGAGTTTAGACTCTAAGTTACCCGCCTTAGCCACAAATTTAGAAATAGGGGAAAATTTTTTTAAACGTATGTCATGTACAAGGGTCTAATTTTCCAGCTCTTCCAGTTGTGGCGATTAAACTAACCAATCCTGTGACAGTGGCTGCACCGTTTATGAACCGTACATGGAACGAAGCACAAAAAAATCAAACCAACTGGAAATGTACATATTGCTAAAATGATCAAGCAGATTAAGCAGCAGAGATCCGTTTGTCCGGAAACAACACCAACCTATAAAAAAAAAACATGATAAATGTTACAGTTAGAGCAAAGGGAAGATGAATTTACGAAACATATTCAAAAAAAAGAACAGTACGGGTCATGGAGGCCCTATCAGGATCATATTAATGGAAACTATAAACAGCCTGTCCGGAGGGTTGCGAACACCGGCCGACGTAATGAGGGTCAGAAATTAAAATACAAACAAATTAAAAAACGGTTCGGCCGATGTCAGCAGATCGGTGTACGAAAGAGGAGAAAACTGGAATAGGCTAGAGAAGATTGTTGAGTAGGAAATGTACGTAAACCGTATGCCATGTAGAAGGATCATGTAAGACCACAGTAAAATTCTATTCTTCTTTTAATTCCTTCCATGAATGTTAGGGGCAATGCCCTGTTCAGTATTCCGAGAAAAAGTACCCCTACAAGTATCCTTCGTTTTTTGCTCCATTTTTTTTAAATAACGCAAAGCCTAGAGTTTCTCACCGCTAAATTTAGCTTTTCTTGTCCTTCGCAATTCCTACTTAACGCAAAAGCGCTCATCAGACGAATTTAGAGCTCGTACAAATTAACTTTTCACATGAACTTTGTGCCCCTACTGCCAAACGTTGTGCCCTCGGTTACATCTAACCAAATCTTTTCTTCCCATCATCCCAACCCGACAAAATCGGTTCTCCGTAACGGGATTTTTTTGCGCGCCCCTACAATTTAAGAGAGAGGAGGCCGTGCCTCAAATCCACCTTATACACGTACAAATACGATATCTGTGAATGAATTTTTTTTTTTATCTGCTTCCTTACATCACTTTTCACTCCAACTTTGAGGAATAAGTACTTCAGAAATCATATAAAAGTCAATTCCCCTCCCCTGCCCTTTCCCACTTTTCGAAAAACTTATTCAAAGTATGATGATGGTGCGCGGAGAGCCAAATAACTCAAAGAAATACGCTGCATTGCGCTTATATTTGGAAAAATCGTTAATGGAGTTCGTGAAAAAAAACGTGCCAAGAAAAAAAAAACATGGAAAAAAGGAAAAAAAGGGCATTTTATGAAAAAAGAAGAAAAAAAACATACCAAGAATGGCCAAGACGAAAAAAAAAACTTACTCTACAATAAGCACAATTTCCAAGTGGCGCCCGCATGGAATCTGATGCTGGTGCAGCAGTCACATTTATAATTCCTGAAATATCCGTCGGATGGACAACTTGGAAGCAAAGCAAAAGCAGCCAGAAGTGAAAAAAAAAAGAAAAACAAACTATAAAAATATTAAGGACCACAAAATAGCTCAATAATTTATCAACGAGGAAAAGTGGTAGAAACATAAATTTCATAAAAAATTTCAATAAAAAACACGAACCTAATGGTGGTGGAGTGGGAAACTGTTGAGTGGTGACTGGAGAAACTGGACTATAGCATGGCGGTACAGCACCATATGGAGGTTTCGGGAAAGATGCACTGTTAGGATTAGGTGGATATGGGAGTGAAGCACCTGGATATGCCATAGCTGCTTGATAAGACGGAGGAGGTTCGCTGAAATTTTGAGCATCAGTCATCAACATGCTTTATGTTTTATAACAGAAATGTTCAGCGCAGATGGCCAATGATGTTAGAAAAAGACGGCCACTTTTTGAAAAAGTGCCAAAACTGTGGCACATAGCCAAAAGACAGAGGACCGGGAAACCCAACTGATTAAAAAAACGAAAAAAAAAATTTTCTTCAACAAAAAAAAAGGAAATTAAAAAAAAATTCTTGCAACGACAAAATCAAAATTCCAATTTCGTTTTCTCTGGCAGATGAAAACACTCAAAATCGGTCTAAATGCTGGTACCATGTTGAATACTGACCGCTTCCGGGTAAAAGTGCCCGTAAGTTAGATCGCCCCCGGGTAAAATCACCCGTAATTTAGTAAAATTTTTGTAAATTTCAGGTTGGATCTTAAATTTCAGGCTGAAACACAGACTGCATCCTAACATGTCCTCCCTCCGACACACAACATTTACACCAATCCCTTACTCTTATTCCACTATTTCAGTGAAGATATATGTCCGGGAAACTGTGAAACTTGGAACGGGAAGTGTCAAAAATCTTCAGAAATTCACACGCAGAAAAACGTTACAGCAGTGAACAAAAAACCAACAATACTAATATCATCGAAAAGCCAAGATAACACAATGCGATTAAACAATGCAGGCTTTTCCAACTTGGGGGCTGTACTGATGATTCCCACTCCAATCCACACAGAATACTGTCTGTGTTTGCAGCTTAGGGATGAAACACAGATAGCCAAGTTTACATTCCGCCTTCCCACAGGTCCTTATTACATCTCCTGAACATTTTTTTACAATATATGCTATCTTTTTCCACTTCTTGTTACTATATCTTTTTCCACTTCTTGTCTTCCTTTCATTTTCAGCAAAAAAC